TCCTCGATCGACCGGTTCTGGGCGCGCAGGGTCTCCAAGCTCATCTGCTGAGACTCAGCCTCGAGCTCTCCCTGCCAGGGGAGGAGCAGAAGAAAGGATAACAGAGCGAGGGAAAGGGAGACGAGAACGCGCAGGAGACAGGGAAGGAGGGGGGGGAGGAGGGCGACGACGGATAGGAGAGAATGGCGGAAGGAGAGAGGAGGGAAGGGGCGGGAGAAGAGGAAGGGAAGGAGGGGGCATGGGGAAGAGTGAGGTGGGGAAGGATGAGGGGACGGCGGGACGAAAAAAGGCGGAGATGGTGAAGACGCTCCGTGTGGCCTCCTGCTCCGCCTGCTCCTCATCCTCCTCCTCTCGAGCGGCCGTAGCAGCCGCCTCCGCGGCCTCCACGTCCGCGCGCGCCGCTGCAGGACGACGCCCCGCCCGGGCGACAAGCGCCGTGCGGGAATCCAGGCGGGCCCGTGGCCGGGCCTCCGCCGCCGCCGCCTCCTCGGCTCGGCGGGCCGCCGGCTTCCGCAGCGCGCCCGCCTCGGCGGCGAGGCCCGCCGCGGGCGCAGGCGCCCGCGGCCGCGCCAGCCATGAGCGGGGTGGCACGGCCGTCAGGTGGGACGCACATGGACATACTAGTACTATATGTCCTCCTTGGAGGCGCGCGTCCGACCCGAACATATAGTATACCCATCTTGTAGTATATCGTTTCCCGAGCGGTGTGGCCAGAAAGCGCCCGCCACGACGCATATACTATAAGATTTCTCGGTGCGCGCGTCGCCCCTGGGGGGGCGACGCACATATAGTATAAGTATGTTGGGGTGTTGCCGATCAGGCCCTACCAAGCCACCCCAACCCAACCCGAAGACCCGAATTCCGGGTTGGGGGGGGTACGGGTTCCATGTGTGTCTTCTCGGTGTTCCCCGACCCCCCCGCACCGTAAGTGGAGGGCAAATGCAAGCCTTCGGGTTGGGTTGGGATGGTTCGGTGGGTGCCGACCTCCCCCTGTGCTGGCTGTGCTCCCAGCCCGCGCGCCTGCGGGGCGCGCAGCGCCGCATCCGCGGCAGCAGGTGCGGGAGGTGTCGTTGGGCAGGCCGCTGCGCCCGCGGCCGTGCCACTGCGGGCTCCGCCTCCGGGGCGGCACGTCTGGAAGCGCCTTTTCCGCCACGGCCCCGTCGTCTCTGCACGGCTCCCATGGCATTCCATCGGGTACCACATGATAAATCAAGATGACCACACACCGCTCAGGGCGGCCGGGGGTTGCCAGCCCGTTCAGCGTGACACCATCAACAACATCATCATAATCATCATCATAATCATCATAATCATCATAATCATCATCATCATCATCATCATCATCATCATCATCATCATCATCATCATCATCATCATCATCATCATCATCATCATCATCATCATCATCATCATCATCATCATCATCTTCATCTCTATCATCATCATCTTCATCATCAGCAGCAGCAGCATCCTCATCATAGTGTTCATGGCCATCGTCCTCGCTGTCGTCGTCAACATCAGCCGCCGACTCCACCACCCGTATCATCGGCGCCGTCGCCGTCGTCGTCATCATCATTAGCAGCACCACAAGCAACAGCATCGTCATCTTCATCATCATCATCATCATCATTATCATCATCATAGTCGTCATCAACATCACTATGGCCGTCATCATCATCATCAGCAGCAGCAGCAATATCATCACCGCCACCACAAACACCACCACCGTCAACACCACATCACAACCAGCATCGTCGTCTCCACCACCACCATCATCATCACCATCCTCATCATCATCAGCAGCATCATCACTACCATCATCATCAGCAACAACAGCAGCAGTATCCTCACCAATGTCATCATCATCACCACCATCATCAGCAGCATCATCAGCATCATCAGCATCATCATCATCGTCGCCATCGTCATCGTCAACATCCTCACCAGCATCATCATCGTCATCAGCATCATCAGTATCATGATCATCATAATAATCACCATCATCATAATCGCCAGCATCATCATCGAAAACAATAGCAACAGCAACACATCAGCACCATCGTCATCAGCAGCATCATCAGCATCAGCATCATCATCGTCAGCCTCATCATCTTTCACATCATCAGCAGCAGCGGCATCATTATCAGCATCATCATCAGCATCAGCATCATCATCGCCATCATCAGCATCATCATATTCATCGTTCATCTTCATTATCAGCAGCAGCAGCCTCGTCAAAATACGCATGGCCATCGTCCTCGCTCTCGTCGTCAACATCAGCCGCCACCTCCACTACCGGTATCATCGGCGCCATCGCCCTCGTCGTCATCATCATCAGCAGCAGCAGCATAAGCAACAGCATCGTCATCATCATCATCATCAGCATCATCATCATCAGCATCATCATCACCACCACCACCGTCATCACCACATGACAACCAGCATCATCGTCATCATCATCACCATCATCATCATCATCATCATCATCATCATCATCATCATCATCATCATCATCATCATCATCATCGTTACCGACCTGATCATCAGCAACAGCCTCATCATCGTCGTCACCATCAGCATCAGCATCAACAACAACAGCCGCAGTATCCTCACCAATGTCATCGTCATCATCATCATCATCACCACCATCATCATAATCATCATCAGCAGCAACATCACCAATGTCGATACCCTTCCTCGCAACCGTCCTCATGACCATCGTCACCCTAATCCGCACCACCATCTTCACCATCATTATCGCAATCAGCGCCGTCATCGTCATCATCAGCATCATCAACCTTATCACTATCATCAGCATCAAAAGAATGCTCTTCGTCAAGCTTATCATATGCCTCCTCCTCATCATCATCACCATCCTCATCATGATCATCATCATCATCATCATCATCATCATCACCATCATCACTATCATCACTATCATCATCAGCAGCAGCATCATCATCACCACTCCCATCCTCATCCCCATCATCCGCCCGCTGCTCCTCATCCACCTCTGTCCCTCCCTCCATCCCTTCCTCCGTCCCCACGTGTCTCAAAGGCCACAGCCCTAGTGTCGCGCGAATTCACATCCCCCCGCACACCATGGAGGCGCCCTCCGCTCCCCTCCCCCATCGCGGCCCGCGCCCAGCCCACCTCGGCCCTGCCCAGCTTGCCGAGAACCTCGCCGTCGTGCCAGGGCCGTTCCGCAGCGGCCTTGCTCTTGTCCCTGTCCTGCTCGATGGCGGGCGCAAAAGGTTCCTCCTCCACCACCTCCTCCTCATCCTCCTCCTTCTCCTCCTCCTCGCCGACACCATCATCGTCATCACCACCACCACCACCACCATCACCATCACCATCACCATCACCATCATCATCATCATCATCATCATCATCATCATCATCATCATCATCATCATCATGCACCATCATCATCATGCACTATCATCATCAGCATCATGATCAACATCGTCGTCGTCATGACCATCATCACCATCATCAGCATCATCATCACCACCATCATCATCGTCATCATCATCACCTTCCTCCTCCGACCCCTACTCTTCCAGACCTCCTCCCCGACGCATCCCAGCGCGAGCGTAGATCCGCCCGCGCCACACGCCACGAACGCCACCGCGCGGCCGCGAGGGCCGGAGGCGGATGGCACCAGAGACCACCTGCGCCACCGCCGACCCCAGAGAGCCGCGCCTCCTAGGGTGAGCTTTGGGCACGGGCTGCCTCAAACGTTCCAGCAACCTGCGAGGGGATGGGCGTCATCCGCACGAGTGACGTCGGCCGTCCTCAACGGTTGGATTCAGTGAGCCACTTCTCATCCGTGGAGGAGCGAGGTGGCGACCTAGCCAAGTTTGCGAGAGCACGGAGGCTGTGCGTGCCTAGAGCAGGGGCCCCCCGCACAGCCACTGGAGAGGGGAAAAGAGACCGTGGTTCCTCCAAGACCACACACGGCGCAAGCTACGCACCATGCAACTCATTCGAGCTGAGACGGGCGTGCGTTCTGCTGGCGTTCACCGGAAGCGGCAGCACGAACGCAGGCAGGATCAGCTTGCGCGAAGGCCCAGGAGGGGGAGGACCTCGAGCAGGGGATCGGAGTTCTTCTTGGGGGCCGCGCTTTAACTGGCACGCGCACGGAATCCATGTCATAAAGACGCGAGACTTCACGCGCGCACCACATAGCAAAGTCATGCAGTACACGTGCTTTGGCATTACGCCTGTCTCGCAATTCTTGAGGGATGCGCGCTCTTTTCGCACTCCAATTGGCCCAGCTGTCGGCTTCGTCGTTGCCCAGTTTGAGAAGCCCTGGCGCTCGGACTGCATGAACGAGCGCACGAATGGTGAGCGCACGAACTCTCATGAGTGAGAAGCTGTCTAGGCCTCCCCAGTCTTCGATCTTGCTCCAGACTTGTCTCCCGATCTCGGCCTAAGCGCTGATGCTGCCACAGAGCTGCATGCGATCCCTGACGTGCACTCCTGAATACAAAATCCGTGTCGGTGTAGAAAGTGGAGCCTGGCACACCGTGCTGCACACCTCTGAGCAACGCAGTGACCTCAACAGCATCGACGTCCACACATACTGCACCTGACACCCCACGCACGACAGAATGCGTGCGTAGAGCAGCAGGACAAAAAGAGACGATCGTCCAGCCTGCCGTCTGGGCCTGGTGGGGCAGCTTTTGGCCCATCCAGGCAGCACAGCATCAGACAGCACAGCATCAGGACACAAGCAGCCTCTCGGCAAAGAGAAGGGTGAGGGAAGCGGCGGCCGCGCGGGGGGTGGCTCCACGACACGTGCGCAAAACTTCGCCGCTCATGACCTCTTCTGGCAACCCGCAGACCACATGCCAGTGCAAGAGTGCGAAGTGCAGATTGGCATGCAAGACAGGTGGGAGAATTCATTCATTGGCTTGGCTTGGGAAACACTTTGTGTATAAGCGCGCTCCGAGGGGAGTAGCTTCTTGGCTTGCGCAAAACTGCACGAGTGAGGAGAGAAGACATCCGTTTTGCAGCTCGGGGACGTTCTCTCGGACCATAAGGACCATAACCACTGACCAATGACTGAGCCAGAAGCCTTTTCTACGAGACGAACGATCTTACACTGAACTCGTGCACTGAAAACCTCCTTCTCCTCCTCCTCCTCCTCCTCAGCCTCCTTCTCCACCTGCTCCTCCTCCTCCTCCTCCGCCTCCTCCTCATCCGCCTCCTCCTCCTCCTCCGCCTCCGCCTCCGCCTCCGCCTCCTCCTCCTCCTCCTCGTCCTCCTCCTCCTCCTCCTCCTCCACCTCCTCCTCTCCCACTCCTCCTCCTCTCCTCCTCCTCCTCCTCCTCCTCTCCTCCTCCTCCTCCTCATCATCAGATCATCAGTCATCATCATCAGCATCATCATCATCATCATCATCATCATCATCATCAGCAGCATCATCAGCATCAGCATCATCATCAGCATCATCATCAGCTTCCTCTTCCTAGTCCTCTTCCTCTTCCTCTGCCTCCTCGTCCTCCTCCACCTCGTATTCATCGTCTTAGTACTACTATTCGAAATATTCGTATTACTATTAGTGGTATTGTTCTTAATAGTAAGGTTGGTATGAGTCATAGTATGATTGTTCTTCGTCTTCTTCGTATTAGTATTCCTCCTCCTCCGCCTCCTTCTCCTCTGCCCCCTCCTCCTCCTCTTCCCACTCCTCCTCCTCATCCTCTTCCTCCGCCTCCTCCTCCTCCTCCCCTCCTCCTCCCCCCTCCCCTCAACCTCCGCCTCCTCTTCCACCTCTTCCTCCTCCTCCTCCACCTCCTCTCCTCGTCCCTCCTCCTCAACTCAATCCTCCTCGTCTCCTCCTCCTCCTCCTCCTCCTCCTCCTCCTCCTCCACCTCCTCCACCTCCTCCGCCTCTCCCACCTCCCCCTCCTCATCCCCCCTCCTCCTCCTCCTCCTCCTCCTCCTCCTACCTCCTCCCCTCCTCCGCCTCCACCTCCTCCACCAACTCCTTCTCCTCCTCCTCCTCCTCCTCCTCCTCCCCCTCCCATCCCTCCTCCCCTCTCCTCCACCTCCTCCTCCCCCGTCCTCCTCATCCTCCTCCTCCTCCTCCTCCAACCTCCTCCTCCTCCTCCTCCTCCACCACCGCCGCCTCCTCCGCCTCCACGCCTCCCTCCGCCTCCTCCACCTCCTCCCTCCTCCTCACTCTCCTTCCTCCCTCCTCCGCCTCCTCCTCCTCCGCTCCTCCTCCTCCTCCTCCTCCTCCTCCTCCTCCCCTCTCCTCCTCCTCCTCCTCCTCCTCATCCTCCTCCTCCTCCTACCTCCTCCTCCTCCTCCTCCTCCTCCCTCCTCCTCCTCCTCCTCCTCCTCCTCCACTCGCAACATAATATCAACATCATCATCATCATCATCAAAATCATCATCTCAACATCATCATCATCATCATCATCAATCTATCATCATCAACATCATCATCATCATCATCAGCATCATCATCATCATCATCAGCAGCATCATCATCTTCATCAGCATCATCATCAGCAGCAACATCATCATCTTCAGCATCATCATCATCATCATCATCATCATCATCAGCATCATCATCATACTAAGCATCATCATCATCATCATCAGCAGCATCAGCATCATCATCATCATCATCATCATCATCATCGTCATCAGCATCATCATCATTGTCAGCAGCATCATCATCATCATCAGCATCATCATCAGCAGCAGCATCATCATCATCGTCATCGTCAGCATCATCATCATAAGCATCATCATCATCGTCATCATCATCAGCATCATCATCACCATCATCAGCATCATCATCAGCATCATCATCAGCATCCGCATCATCATCAGCTTTACCATCATCATCAGCAGCATCATCATCCTCATCCGCATCTCATGATCATCCGCATCCGCATCATCATCAGCATCATCATCATCATCATCATCATCATCAGCATCGTCATCAACATCATCATCATCATCAGCATCATCATCATCATCATCATCATCGTCATTATCATCATCATCATCATCATCATCATCATCCTCATCATCATCCGCCACATCATCATCATCAGCATCATCATCACCTTCATCGGCATCAGCATCATCATCACCATCATCATCAGCAGCAGCATCATAATCATCATCATCATCATCAGCATCATCAACAACATCATCATCAGCATCATCATCATCACCATCATGATCATCATCACCAGCATCATATCATCAGCATCATCATCAGCAGCATCATCAGCATCAACATCATCAGCCTCAGCATCAGCATCATCATCACCATCATCATCATCATCATCATCATCATCATCATCATCATCATAATCATCAGCGTCATCACCATCATATTCAGCAGCATCATCATAATCAGCAGCATCAGCATCATTATCATGATGATGATCATCATCATCATCAGCAGCATCATCATCATCATCACCATCATCAGCAGCAGCCGCATCACCATCATCAATATCAGCAGCAGCATCAGCATCACCTTCGGCTTCTTCTTCATGATCAGCATCGTCATCGTCATCATCATCCGCAGCATCACCATCATCATCATCATCATCATCATTATCATCAGCATCATGATCATCACCATCATTATCATCAGCATCATCATCATCATCAGCATCACCATCATAATCACCATCAGCATCAGCATCATCATCAGCATCGGCAGCATGAGCATCAGCATCATGAGCATCATCAACATCATCATCAGCAGCATCGTCATCATTATCATCATCAGCATCATCATCAGCATCATCAGCATCGTCATCATCATCATCATCATCATCATCATCATCATCATCATCATCATCATCATCATCTTCGTCTCATCATCATCATCATCGTCATCAGTATCAGAATCATCATCAGCACCAGCATCATCATCACCACCAGCATCATCACCTTAATCGTAATCACCATCCGAATCATCATCGTCATCATCAGCATCATCAGCATCATTATCATCATCATCCTCAGCAGCATCATCATCATCAGCATCATCAGCAGCAGCATCATCAGCATCAACATCATCAGCCTCAGCATCATCATCATCAGCAGCATCATCACAATCAATGTCACCAGCATAATCATCACCAGCATCATCAACATCATCATCATCAGCAGCATCATCAGCAGCAGCATCATCAGCAGCATCACCATCACCACGATCATTCAGCATCATCAGAAGCATCAGCAGCA